TCTAATAGGTTTCCTACCTATGTCTTCACCTGTGGGCTCCTCCTGTGCTGCATGTCTTCCATTTGTCCTTCCAGATCCACTCTACTCTGCCACGTTGTTCTGTGCCCTGGGAGACTGAGCTGTATGATTGCGTCAAATTGCTCCCTTGTCATCTGGATTCCAGCCCAGCTAAGGAATCAGATGGAAGAAGAGGACGGAAGTGAGGATGGTGACTCCCCAGTCCCCTCCCTGCAGGACTGCTGTGGGGATCTGCCTCCTGCAGTCAAAGTCACAGCTGCTGTTGGGAGGCCCCATCCCTGCGTTCCAGGAGATGCTGACAGCTCCCCACTCTGGGATACTGGGGATCCTGCCCCATTTCTTGTGGCTTCCCTAAAAGCCTGTTCACACTTTTGTAGATAGTCCCTTTATTAAAACATCCTCCAATTACCCATTTTGGGTGTACCATCTGTTGCTTGCTGGGAGCCTGATACATTGTCACTGAACTGACATTTATAATTTTCATGCCTTTTTACTAAATTTTTAAAGCTTTTAAGTATGTGCTTTGGAAGCCTTATTTAAGAAGTCCTTCTCTATTCCTGCTAGTATAGATTTTCCCTTTTTTTCCTATAAATTCTGCAGTTTTACTTTTTATTTTTAGTTCTTCAATCTAGCTAGCATCCAGCTTTTTCTGTGATGTTGGATATGAATCCAGTTTTATTCTTCTTCATATAAAGAGCCAGGTTTCCTGACAATGTCTCTTCTCCACTTTATTGTCCATTAAGTCTCATTTATGTTTAATCCTGCCTCTGAGATCTCTATTCCATAACATTGGACTATTTTATCATTACTATACTTTTTTTTTTATTACTAGGGCTTTGTAATATACTTTAATACCCAAAAGGGCTAGTTCCCCTTTCCCTCAATTTTTGATCTTTTCCCCCCAAATTGACATTTTTCTTGCCATATATTTATATGTTTTCTAAAAAGATTGTTGAGTTGCTTTTAAAAATACAGCAGAAAATTATATATAATTTCATTGAATTTATACATTAATTTGAAAAGAACTTTTTTCTTGTATATTCTCTAACATCGTTGTGGTGATAGCTGACTAACACACTTGCTAAAGTCTTGTATTAGGTCTAATTTTTTTTTGGATGGTGTCGATTTTCTGTATAGATGATCTTATTGTTTTATCTCTTCCTTTCCAATTCTTACAACTTTAATGCTTATTCCTGTCTTGTGCAGTTGGGCCAGTATCCCCAGGATTATGTTAAATAGCAGCAACAATAGCACTATAACGGAGACTTCTAATTGACCCGTGTCATCAATTCTCCCTTTTTCTCTACACCAGGGGTCAGCAAACATTTGGTTGAAGCATTGCTCATTTTTGGAATTCGTTGAGGTCTTATTTAGGTGGGTGACAGAGGGGCAGATAGCAAATATTTTAGGCTTACCAGGCCACATAGTGTTCATCATAACTACTCAATTCTGCTATTGCAGCATTCAAGACATCATAAATGATATATAAATAAATGAGTATGGCTGTGTTCTAATAAAACTTTATTTCCAAAAGCAAGTGAGGGCCAAAGTTTGTTGACTTCTGCTCTACAGTAATAGAATCCTGTGGTTTTTAACTGGAATTTGGCAAAATGGAATGAAGAGTACACGTCTCAAGCCCATTTGCAGCTAACTGTGACCATGATGTTAGCTGAGTGGTCTATACAACTTCCAGAAGTGTACTCACAAAGAAAGGGAGGATGTGCCATTCTCCTTTTCTTGTCTGGAATGTGTCATGACAGGAGTTGGGCAGATATCTTGGAACATGCAATAGACGCCATATGTTGAGACTTGCAGAGCAACAAAATAGAGGCAGCTGAAGTCCTGAATGATTTTTATCATAAATAGAAGTTGAACTTTTGCCAAGTGTTTTTCCTGCATTATGTCATTTTTTCTTTTGTATTCCCTTAAGCTATTTTTGGGGTATTCATTAAATCTATTATATTAGTAGATTTTTCTGATGTGAAACCATCTTGGAATTCTTGGCATACGTACTATTTGAACATTTTATCTTTTTAATATACCAGTTGACTTGATAAGCTAATATTAGATATAGGAATTTACATTCTCAGTCATTATCGTGAAAATCCTCTATTTGAAATTTGTTAAAGCTTGCTTCATGGCTCAGAATTTGCTCAACTTTTTGAGACTCTGTCAGTGTACTTGAAAGGAATGGGTCTTCTGCTGGGCACAGTGGCACATACCTCTAATCCTAGTTACTAGGGAGGCTTAAGCAGTAGGATGGATTGAGCCCAGGAGTTTGAGACCAAATCTCAAAGAAAGAAAGAAATGAACATTCTGTATTTGATGAGTACAGTATACTAGATATATCCATTAGGTCATAATAGTTCAATCTAGGGTTCAAAATGTCTATATCCTTATTGATTTTTTTTGTCTAATTGCTGTATCAATTACTGAAAGAGATGCTTTACAATCTAGTATGAATATAGATTTGCCTATTTTTTCTTTTTTTTTTTTTTTTTTGAGTTGGAGTCTCACTTTGTCGCCCAGACTGGAGTGCAGTGGCCGCTCCCGGCCACCGCAGCCTTGCCTGCTGGGCTCCAGCGATCCTTCCGCCTCAGCCTTCCAAGTAGCCGGGATTACAGGCATGTGCTACCACACTCAGCTGATTTTTTGATTTATTGTAGAGATGAGGTCTCGCTGCCCAGGCGGGTCTCGAACATGCAGGCTCAGATAATCCACTCACCTCAGCCTCCCAAAGGCGCGGGATTACAGGCTGAGCCACCGAGCCCGGCTCTATTTTTTCTTATACTTCTAAAATTTTTGTTTTATATATTTTGTTGCTGTTATTCAGTGTGTACATATTTAATACTGGTGTATCCTGTTGAATTGAACCTTTCATCATTAGGAAGTGACCCTCTTTATCTTTAATAATACTTTTTAAATAAAGTATACTTTATAGATATATATTTGGTTAGAATTTGCCCAATATATGTTGTTCATACTTTTGCTTTTACCCTCTGTTTCAGATGTTTCTCTTGGGCATGTAGTTGGATTTTTTTGTTTTTATTCTGTGAAATTTTTTTTTAACAAGATAACTTGGTCCTTTGCAGTTAATAAAGTCAGCATATTTGGATTCATAACTAATCTTTTATTTTATGCTTTAAAAATTTACCTGTTCTAGGTCTTTTCTCTCTCCCTTCCTATTTTTTTAGAGTAATATTTTCCTTCATTTTTTTTCTCTCTATAAGTTTGGAAGTTATAACCTCTGCTTCTAAGGAATGTACATAAAAACTACAACAATGTCAGGGACAACACTGTCTTTACTTTTTAAAACCTGGAAATGTTATATAATTATATACTCTATGTCTGTACTTATGCAAACTTTCTCCTTTCTAAAATTATGTGTGTGCCTCCTATTTTTTGCTTGTCATATTTATTTTATTCACCCTTTCAAGAATTTGATTTTTCTTTTATTGATCATGTCTACATTTAAATTTTCTAGTTCATTAATTTTTGCTTTTTTTTTTTTGGGTTGGAGTCTCACTCTGTCGCCTAGACAGGAATGCAGTGGCTGCTCCCGGCCACCACAGCCTCGGCCTGCTGGTCTCTGGCGATCCTTCCACCTCAGCCTTCCAAGAGCCAGAATTACAGGCATGTGCTACCACGCCTGGCTGATTTTTTGATTTATTGTAGAGATGAGGTCTCGCTGCCCAGGCGGGTCTCGAACCCGCGGGCTCAGGCAATCCACGCACCTCAGCCTCCCGAAGGCGCGGGATTACAGGCTGAGTCACCGAGCCCGGTTTGTATTTTTTTTTTTTAAATAAATTCCTTCCTTCTATTTGGGGGGGATTTGTTTTGTTATTTTTTTCCAAGTTTCTTGAATTAAAACTTAACTTATTTCAAGTTAACCTTTCTTGTTTTTACTAAAGCTACTTTTCACTATATACATTTCTTCTAAGAACTACTTTAGACTGTTCATAGTTTCAGTATGCAGTATTTTCACTGTTTATATCTAAATCACTTGACTTTTTCATTTTTATTTTCTTTCACAAAAATTTAGAAAAATAATGAGAAAATTACATGCTGATAGTTTTTTTTTTTTGTCTGTACTTTCATGTTTATTTCTAACTTTATTATTTTGGTTGAAGCATTGCTCATTTTTGGAATTAGTCGAGGTCTTATTTGGGTGGGTGAATAATTTGTCAATTTTTGTTCATAATTCCCTAAGTGTCTGTAAAATCTGAACTGGTTTGTCCTAACTCCCATCCTTGGCTGTCGATTCCACCAATGTTGGTGCTTCTGTTCTGTGCTACTGGTTTTCCTCATAGATGATTAATGAATATACACCTCATAGGTGTATATTCATTATATGTGTTACCTGTCTGTGAATGCTGCTTCTATTTTACTGTAATGAAAGCAACAAATACCAGTTTTATTCAAAATTTTGAATCACTCAATATATTGGGGATGTTCTTGTCCTAAGGGTATTGGTGCAGGTTGAATGGTCTCCAGTAAAAATGCATTTTACAGCTGAGACTCAGAGAACAGAACAATTTACCCAAACTCGCATATATGTAAATAATAAAGTCCAACTCCTACCTCAGGTCATGTAGCCCAAAGCCCACACAGATAAGATGCCAAGGTGCCTGTCCAAGGCTTCCTAATGCCAATCAACGCACTCCTGATTCCTATTCCTAATAACCAGACAACTTATAGAATGTTAGGTATATTTCTCTTCTTTTTACTCTTTAAAAGACCACACACACTCACAAAGTTGACAATGATAATCCTCAAACTGCAGAAAGTTAAATCAGATTCAATCTCCCTACCCCTCCCAACATCACCCTACATTCCTCAAACACCATTCGTTCTCCGTACCTTAAAATCCTAGATGAAAAAATAGAGAGGGTGGAGGAGGCCCTGAGATAGGAGGATTCCCAATCCCGGGCCCCTTCAGCAAGTCAAAACAATGAGGAAATAAATTGGGGGAGAGGAGGCTTCTAGCTGGCCTTGCTCAGCTCTGTCTCACAGACCCAGTGGTAGAGCTTCCTGCAGATGTCATATATCCAGTGACCGTCACTGGTGAAGAAGGCACAAGCCTCGCTTTCCTTGATCATGTTCCTGGAAGGGTCCAGCAGATCTGACCTCCAGAGCCTGTGGACAAGAAACAGCTGTGTTCTCCAGAGGGTCAGACCCTCAGCCAAGTCCCCCAGGAGACCCCTCTGCTCAGAGGCCTCGGGCTGGGAAGGCGGGCAGGTCCCATGGAGGGGCACACTCACGAAAAGCCTCTCCCATAGTCTGTCCCATCCACCCACTTCCAGGGCCCATTTTGGTCAGTGAGGCCCGTCCACGCGCCGGCAGTGCATATGTGTTCCTGGATAAAATTCTGGGGAGAGAGAAGTGTGGTGGTGACCTCTCCCTGTTAGACTAGCCAGCCTCCCAGATGAGCCCTCTGGGGCCTCACCTGCTCCTCCCTGGAGTTGATGACCACCAGGTGGGCGTTCTCCAGCTGGCAGTACTTCTCAGCCTCAGACCAGGTCTCGCTGGACTGAGAGAACCAGTAGCAGCTGCCCGCATGCTCTACCCAGTTGATGGGGCAACAGGTCTTTTCGGAGCCTGAAAGGGAGAAAGGGGGTGGAGGGGTTGGGTTTGACTCAGTGGGCTGTGGGCAGAAAAGTGGAGCCAGGCACTCCCCACACCCTCCTCACCATTGTTCTTGAGAACAGCCATCTGGCAAGTCAGGGAGTTCAGGTCTTTCACCAACTGCTGGACTCGCAGGAGCATTCGGAAATAAGCTGGGACACACAGATGGGCAGTGGGCACAGTGCCCTGGGAGGGGCTTCTGCTTAGTCCTCAGAGCTCAGATGCCCCTGGACAGGACCTAGTCCAGGAACCTTCCTGCCCTCCCACACACATCATGCCCAGGAGTGGGGAGCAGCCTTCAGACCTGCTTTGAGTTCCTGCTCCTGTTTCTCCAGCCTGCTCTCCAGAGAAAGCATATTGTCTTTCAAGCTGTGAGCTGAAGGGGAGGGCGGTTCAGCATCGGGAGGCTACTCCCACCCCCACCTTTGTTGGAGAGCCCAGCCCTCCTCCTACCCCCACAATCTAGGAAGTTCTCTTACCTGCCTGCAGTTCTTGCTTGTGATCCTCCACTTCGGCTTTCAGAGATGTTATCATTTCTTGCAAGCTACTGCCTGGAGATGATGGGTTCAAAGGTCAACCACCCTCTCCCCCACATGGCCCCAGCCCAGGGCCCTGTCCAAGCCTGGCTCACCCTGGGATGTCAGAGCCTGGATCTCAGCCACAGTGTCTGAGGTGAAGTTGCTGAAAGTTCTCCTCAGGGTCGCCACGTCCCTCTGAACCTTGGAATCTAGACAGGTGGATGGGATGATTGGAGGGTCCGGCAATATCAGTGGCCCAGCTACTGTTCTCAGCAATCATCCCATTAATGCCACGATCAGTATATCAGTGGTCCCATATGACCTCTATGGCTATTGCAAGCACTGCCATTGTCATGAAGCATTGTCATCTCCAAAACTGCCCCCAAACACTGTGCCCATCATCGCTTCCACTCTGGTCCTCACTGTTGTCCCCGTCACCATCCTACTATTGTACCCCATTATTTCTCTCTCCTCTTCCCACCCCTGTGACCCTCACTTTGGGTTCCAACCACACAGATGACAACCAGCAGCAGGATGCTGAGTCCCAGGGACAGCAGGAGGAGGTGGGACCTGGAGCAGAGATGCTGCAGGAAGGACTGAAGATGAGGCAGCCCTGTGAGAGGAGAGGCTGTCAGGATGAGGGAGATCCAGGACATGACAGACACGGTAGGAGAAGAGGGCCCAGGGACCTGTCTAGGGATGAGGGCTGGGCACAGGGACTGCTGGGTTGGGCTGGATGAGGAAGATGGCAGGGCGGGGAATACCAAGGCCTTTGTCCTCAGGGACCAGCACAAGTCCTCAACCACATGGGTCCCTCACACCCCTGGCGATCCACAGGCACCAACACACGGACAGGGGACGATGACCATATGTGAGGTCCTATCCTCAAAGCTGGGGGAGGGAGCAGGAGGACGTGGAGGGAGCTGGAAACAGCCAGACCCTTTGCAGGCTCATACTCATCTGTACCATCAGGTTCATAAACGAGTTTCCTTCCAAACCCAACTACTTATCTTCCCCCTCACCAATGGGCAGTTCTCATCCCCACCCAACAGAGATAAGGAGCCCAGGTTTACTGTAGCCTTCACATTAGGCCCACCAGAGACTGAGGCTTGACCCCCTCAGAGTGGGGGACACACCAGTGCAGAGAGAAAGACGGAACATGACAGGAGAAATTCTAAATGTTTTAAGAGGGCATTTGAGGAGAGTGTTTCTCCTTCTTACCATTTCCAACCTCCTGGATTTCATCCTCACTCTCCAAGTGCTGGAAGTTTTCGTACTTTGTTGTCATACTTGGGTCAACAACAGACGTCTGAGGCTGTCAGAGCTGAAATGGAGGCAGGGCCAATGGCCAGGCTGGAGCAGAGCCAGGGCAAAGGAGGAGGCTGAGACTAGGTTGGAGCCTGGGTCAGGGCTGCTGTAGATGTGCAAGAAGAGGCTCAGGTTGGGAATGAGCCCAGGGTTAGGGCTAGGAGGGAAATGGGCCTGGGTTTGCAGCTGAGGTTAGAAGTGGGGTCGGGTTTGGGCCTTGGGCCTGGGTTGAGTTGAGTTTGGGGTTGAAATTGGAGGTAAAGTTGGAGCTAAATGTATTGCTAGGACTGGGTCTAACACTGGGGCTGGACTTGAGGTTGTTTCTCATGGTAGGTCTGAGGTCAACACTCATGTTGGAGCCCTGGATGGAATTGGCCTAACCTTGGTGCTGAATTTAGAAATAGAGTAGAATTGAACTTCAACTTTGGGTTGGGACTGAATCTGGGGTTGCAGCTAAAGCAGAAGCTGGAGTTGGTATTGGGGTTTGGGCATGGCTGGGGTTGGGGCTGAAATTAATGCTGGAATTGAGCTAGCGATGGAGCTGAGTTTGAGTCTTAGTGTGACTGGGGATTATGGCTTCCATCATTCAATCTAGAATCCAGCGACGGGATTAGAGTCTCAAGTCTCCACTTGGTAATTAAATCCCACACCGTCCCTTTATATTTATTCCCATTTATCCTCACCCAAGACCCAAAGTCCCCTTCTCCTTTCTTCCTCTAACACATTCCCTGCCCCTTGGTCTCACGAGCACCCCCAGCCCAGTTACCTGTGGGAAGTCTGGAGGCTGTGATTCTTGTGCTAGTTGTGCAGCAGTGTCCAGAATGGGGGAGTCACTGAGAGTTGGAAGAACTAAATCTCGAAGAGTTGGGGAAGGAGTGACCACAGGAGGAGCTATACATGTGACCAGAATGCTACTGGTCTGGTGCCTGAGAGCCCAGGAGTCTGTAATGTGGGACATCTCATTTCCTCACTTTGGATAGTAAATAAATAAAACACTCGCAGAGACCACATGTGTGTGGTGGTTGGGTTGGGCCCGGGTTTGCTTTCCTCCTGTTGGGTGTGTCTGCTCCCTTTTCCTTTTTTGAGCTCCCTTGACTTCCTCATTTTTACCAGCTTAAAGGTGGGGCTGGACCAGAAAGGGCCACAGGTGATGTCTGTTGTTTTTCCTGTACTTCACAATATTTTTCACTTCCTGCCTTCAGAACTATTGATGTCTCCATCATCATATCCTCAGTCAAGACAAGCTCATTCTCTGCTGTTGCTCAACTCTGGCTCAAGTCCTCGGCATTTGAAGGTCCTTGGGGCCTCCATCATTAAGCTTCCCAGCTCCAGCCTTGCTCTGTTCTGGAAGTAGAATTGCTGAGTAGGAACAACCTTCTTAACAATAAAAATTGGATCGAGACTGCCAAATTGCTCGAAAAAGATTTTACCAATTTTTCTTCCTAACAATCATGAATAAGGCTTTATCTTTACTATCACCACCCAACATTTAAATTCTTTCCATCTGATATTCAAGAACTATCTCCTTGTCTTAGTGTATTTTGTGTTGTTGTAAAGGAAATACCTGAGGCTGGGTCATTTATAAAGAGAACAGATGAATTTAGTTCATGGTTCCACAGGCCTATACAAGAACCATAGTTCCAGCACCTGCTTCTGGTGAGGGCCTCAGGCTCCTTTTACTCATGTGGAAGGCAAAAGGTAGCCATTGAGTGCAGAGATTACATAGTGAGAGAGGAAACAAGAGAGAGAGAGACAGGAGGTACCAGGCTCTTTTTGTCAACCAACTTTCTCCACAATAATTTGAGGAACAACTCACTCACTACTGAGAGAGGGTGTTAATTTATTCATGAGGAATCGGTTCCCATGACCCAAACATCTCCCATTAAGTCCTACTTCTGACACAGGGGATTGAATTTCAACATGAGATTTGGAAGGGTCAAACATCCAAACTACAGCACTTCTATCTTATTATTTCAATGAGCACTTACCTAATTACATATATGGGGGAAAAGTTTTGTATTATATTTTAGGTCTAGAAACTATTAGAAGCTCTTTTATATTAAAGTTTATTATGAATAACTGCATCTGACAGTTACATATAACGGCTATTTCAAAATATTAGACATTGCATTGAGTTTTTAGAATGTGTGAAAAAAGAGACTGAGTTTCACATGGTTAAAGAAAAGTTCAAAAAAGACTATTTATTTATTTATTTTTGAGTTGGAGTCTCATTCCTTGCCCAGGCTGGAGTGTAGTGGCACGCATAGTCAAGGACACCCCAGCATCGACCTGTTGGGCTCAGGCGATCCTTTTGCTTCAGCCTTCCAAGTTGCTGAGACTACAGGCGTGTGCCACCATGCCCAGCTAATTTTTTGATTATTGTAGAGACGAGGTCTCACCAAGTTGCCCAGGCTGGTCTCTAGCTCCTGGGCTCAGGCAATCCCCTCAACTCTGCCTCCCAAAGTGCTGGGATTACAGACCTGAGCCATCGTGCCCAGCTAAAACTATCTATCTATCTATCTATCTATCTATCTATCTATCTATCTATCTATCTATCTATTTATTTTGAGTTGGAGTCTCACTCTGTCACCCAGGCTGGGGTGCAGTGGCATGCTCACGGCCACCCCATCATCAACCTGCTGGGCTCTGGCGATCCTTCCACCTCAGCTCTCCAAGTAACTGGAACTACAGGTGCGCACTACCATGCCTGGCTAATTTTTGATTTATTGTAGAGCCAAGGTCTTGCCAAGTTGTCTGGGCTGGTCTCAAATCCACGGACTCAGGCAATCCACTTGCCACGGCCTCCCACAGCGCTGGGATTACAAGCTGAGCCAGCAAGCCTGGTCACAATTTATCTCTAAATCCAGCTAAATTGCCAGAGATTAGCAATTACTATTTTCTACATTGGCAATACATTATAACTTCTCACCATTATCTAAATATTTCTCATAAACCTTGATGTTCATATGAAAGAAAGGTTTACATTTCCTATTAGAAAAGGCAGGCTCTTCAATGAGATGATTGGACAAGAGAATCTTTATGTTTTTATATCAAATGACTACAAAGCACAAAAAATAAATCTGTCATTTATAATACAACATATAGTCACATTTAATCTCACTTGCATCATTTGCCCTGAACTGATTTTCAAAAATTTTTTGTTTTTGCTTTTGTTTTGCATACTAGGTTGTAAATCTAAGTTTTTAGAATAAGACACTCATGGTACAGCTCCTATATTTTATGTCCAGGTGATTTGCTTTAAAGTTTATCTTTAAGACAAGTGCGACCTCATCAAACTGACGAGCTTCTGCAAAGCCAAAGAAACCATCAAGAGAGCAGGGAAACAGCCCCATGGGAAAAAAATATTTGCCAAGTGTATATCTGACAAAGGCCTAACATCCAGGATCTACAAGGATCTCAAACACGCCAGAAGGAAAAAAACAAACAGCCCCATTAAAAAGGCAAAAGACATGAATAGACACTTCTCAAAAGAAGATATACGGGCAGCCAACAGACACATGAAAAAGTGCTCAGCCTCACCCATCATCAGAGAAATGTAAATCAAAACCACCTTGAGATACCACCTAACCCTAGTAAGAATGACTATCATTAATAAAACAAACAACAACATGCTGGCAAGGATGCAGAGAAAAAGGAATGCTTCTACACTGCTGGTAGGAATGCAAACTAGTGCAACCTCTTTGGAAGACAGTGTGACAATTTCTGAAAGAACTAGA